TGTCAGTGATACTGAATAAATACGCACTTTTCTCTATAAAAAATGTGACAGAGTACACAATCTTAGGGAGGCTTTAGAGTTCTCATTGGAATGAACTTCCCTAGCTGTAAATTTTTTTTTTTTTTTTTTTTTTTTTGCTGGCATTAAAGGCTTTCACCACCACACTTAATTATTTTTCTTTAAAAAACATTTAATATTTAATATTTTTAACAATTTCCATCTTATATTTTGAGACAGAGTATCACTGAACCTGTAGTTTGCCTGTTGCCTAGGATCCCAGATCCCTTGATAAATATTGGTCACAGAATCTCCAGAAATGATGAAAAATAGATTCTTCAACAGAGCTACATTGCTTTACACATGAGTGAAATTGTACAGGGCACATTATGATTAATTCTATACAGCAACTGGTAAAGGGAAAAATCTCTTTTTGATTATCTTAATAGAATAAGATCACTTGATAGGAGGTCTACCATCCTCACCTTTTTAAGTGTGTGATGCAGTACAGTAAAGTGTATGACTTTAGGGACAGTTCATATCTTACCTAACTGAAACTTTGTGCCTCTTGATTACTAATTCTCCATATCCTAGACCCTAGTAGCCACCATTCATTCCTCGATTCTTTGAAATTGACAGTTTGATATGCCTCACATAAATAATTATTAGTCTATGTGTCCTCAAGCATGATAGCATAGTGTCTTCAAGGTTCATCCATGATATTTACTTCTTTTGCAATATTGTATGTATATACCACATTTGAGGGGAATGTCAGGGGCCGGGCCTGGGAAATTCATGCATTCTAAGGTCTCTAATTCAGTTCTGCTCTTGAGATACCCTCCAGTTCCTGTGCCACATATTTCTATCCATTCATCTGATGACAGACATTTGGTTGTTTTTGCATCTTTAGCTGTTCGGATTAGTGCTACAGCAAACATGGAAATGCTGATTTCAATTCTTTCGAATACATGCTCAAAAGTGGGATTTCTGAGTTATGTAAGATAGCTTTATTCTTCATTTTTCAAGGATCCTCTATACTGTTTTCTATGTCACCTGTACCACATCCTTACCAATGCTTGTCTTTTGCTTCTTGACTAACAGTCATCTTAATATGTGCAAGGCTTTTATTTATATTTCCCTTGTGAGTCATGATATTGAACATTTTTCATCTATCTGTTCGCTATGTGCATGTCTTTTTTGAAAAAACTCCTATTCATGTCCTTAATCTGTTTTGGAAAGTTATTATCTTTATTTTTGCTCATTGTAGGCATTCCTTAAATGTTTTCAAGATTAACTCCCTTATCAGATATCTGGGTTAGAAATATTTTTGCCCATTTTGTATGGAACCTTTTCCCTTTGTTGATAGTTTCTTTTGCTGTGTTTAATATACTCCACTCATTTGTTTTGTCTTTATTGGGAGGCATTCTCATAAAGGGAAAATAATCAATAATGAATTGAAAGCCCTGCACAGTTGTGCTTTAAAGGCTGGTTCTTCACATCATCCTCTTGAGGTTCAGTGCCGTCTCCTGCCATGTGCCTTCTGATTTGGGCACTGAGGCTGCATTAGTTTCCACACACCCCTATACTTCTTGCATAGTGCTTCCAAGGTCTTTACTTTCTTGAACAGAAAACCAAACCTCTCGCCTGATTAATTAAAAGTCCTCCACAATTTTCTATAAACTATGAGATTAGCCAACCTGTGTATCATCATCCCTGTGCATTTTTTCACCTGTTTCTAGGGTCCTTAGTGTCTTCCACCAGTATTTCCCAGACATTTTCATCCTGGGTCTCCATTCTTGACTGTCTTGATCTTCTGAGAGCTGAAGGAAGTGGTATCTTAGGAAACCTTACATCCTTCCCAGAGTGTCTGCCCTGTACTGTGCCAGTATACCTTCACCCTCCTTGGATGGTCTGTGTACCACTAGACGTTCCTCTTTTTGTACAGTATGCCATCTGACTTGTCTTGCCTTCTCAACATGATGAACCTCACCTTGTGATTTGAGGACTGGCTTATTTGCATCAAGAAATATTTAGGGATTCTTTTTAAAAGGTATTTGAAGTTTTTTGTTTCTAATCTTAAATTACTCTTGACTCAGAAGTTCTGACTTTCTCCATTTTCTGAGCCATTTGTAATAACGTAATTTTAATGTTAGTTACCCTCTATAGCAATAATGGTTTTGAATATTTTAAATCTTTCATTACATTTCTTTATTTTATATTTATTTATTTATTTATTTATTTATTTATTGTGTGTGTGTGTGAATAAAACTGTGGTACACATGCCTTGATGCACATGTGGAGGTCAGAGGACAATTTGTAGAAATTACTTCTTTCCTTCTAACATGCGGGACCCAGTGATGAAATTTAGGTCCTCAGGCCTGGCGCCAAGCACCTTTACCTGCTGAACTGTCTTTTGTTCTTTTTAAAATGTACAAATAATTCTGGGTGTGGTCTTTTAGTCAGGCATACCCTGGCTTGATTACAGAAGTGGTTTCACAGGCTTACACACAATTAAACTAATTAAATTGATATGGTTTATTCTACATTTGACAAAATAAAATTGATTAAAAAACACAGTAACTATTATATTTGTTAAGATTCTCGTGTTCATAAATTGATACACTTACAAGGCAATATAGATGCTGACAGATCTTCTGTATCTGGAAAAACTATTTTCTTTGACTCAGCAGTCTGGGAAGTTACATAAGAATAACTTAAGAGGTAGACTACTTACAAGCCGTAACACATATCACAACCATTTCAATCTTATAGTGCTAATGTTTAGTTTACTAACATTCATAGGTGAGCGCCATTCTGTCTTATATCAGTACTTCATAAAATACTCTCAGTAGTGCTATAGAGATAGAGGGGTTTCTAGTATTAGAAAATATTGAGCAGAAATTAAAGGTTTATGTTTCTATGTGCATGAATTTTGGATATTAGAAACCTCCAGGAAACGACTACAGAAATTCTATCTCAAATTCCCAAATTCTAATCATGGAACATCTCAAAAGCTAATACTGTATGTTCACTTTGGAAATGCTGTTGTGGAATCTACAAAGCACTGTTCACATATGAAATCTTTTTTTAAAAAAATGAAGCCCAAGTTCATACAATAAACTGCAGAAACTTGGCTGAAGCCCAGGTACTCTGAATGTCCCACTTTGCATCAATTTCCTTCGATCTGAAAGCCTTTTGGCCGTTTTCTGTGCTACTAATCTGCTGAAAGCATTGCTGTTTTTGTTTTATTTTGTCTGGAAGTAATCTTGTTTATCCTTCATTATTGAAGGTTATTTTCAGTGAGAGTAGGTATGTGAAGTAACTTTTTTTAAAAAATACTTTAGAAATGTTGTTCATATATGACAGAATATCTGAAATTGGAGGGAGAGGGGGAGGGGAGAGGGAATCTAAACTTGCCTAAGATGTATTATATGAAATGCACAAAAACTCAATAAAAATATTAAAAATGAAAATGAAGCTTGTTCTACCAGTTTCTGCTCTAGTTTAGATGTGAGAGTCATTAGTGATTCAAATCTTGTTCTCCATTTGTATCCTGATCACTTTTGATGAAATAGTTTTGGATTTTAGCAGTTTGACTTGATTTGTGTCTGCACTAATTTGAAGAAGAATAAGTTAGTTCTTTAGTTCCAGCATAATAGAGGCATTAGCTTCCAGTAAAATACTAGGAAAGTTCAATTCAGTAAATTCAGCTCTGGACATACTTCTTTATTAGAGCTGTGCTATTTTGAGGGCTCTCTGAAACAATAGCTTACTCCATATTTTAAGATAGTGAAGAAAGTTACAAAAAATTGTTTGGGGATTCTTGGTTGTTGTTACTGTTGTTTTGATAGTAGACACTGAAAACTTGATAGTACACCAGGCGGAGATACTTCTACCTCTGCCTCTGGGTGCTGGGATTAAAGGGCATGGGCCACAATGCCCAGCTCAAAAAATGTTTTTGGTATAGCAAGTCATACACACATTTTCCTAACTGCCATCCTTTTCTACTTACCTGAAAGTTATAGTGGAAGAGAGAGTTTCCCAGAAATAATGGTTTTATATCTTTGGAAAATAATTAAGACACTGACTGTTTATCCTCAAATGCATTATATAGTAGCTAGTACTTGTTTTGTTTGTTAATTGTAGATAAAAGTAGGTTATTCCTATTGTGTACTGCGTTTCCCTGTCTGCCTTTGTTAGGTAATGTCAGTTCTGAGTGTAGTTAGTTCTTGCTGCTCCATCCCTGTAGGCTTTGATGCGGCCTGGAAGAATTGATAGAATCATTTACGTGCCCTTGCCAGATGCAGCAACAAGGAGGGAAATACTGAACCTACAGTTTCACTCAATGCCAATCAGTAATGAGGTAGACCTGGATGAACTCATCTTCCAAACAGATACATACTCAGGAGCAGAGGTAAGTTACTTCTCCTCAAAATAACTTGGTACTAAAGATGTAGCTCAGAGATAGAACATACCCTTAGCATGCACAGGGTGTTGAATTCAATCCCTAGTACATACACACATGCTTTTACACACAAGAAAAAAACTTCAGTGGGAGGGAAGTAGTGGTTCATGGTCATTAAGCAAAGAAAACTGCTTTCTATCTACTGTTTTAAGTTGCTGTGTTCTGCGAAATCTTAAAACAAGAAGCCACTTTAGTTTTTGTTTTGTTTCGTTTTTTTCTTGGCCGGGTTCTGATGATTGCTCAAAATCTCATCTTCAGTGTAATGTAGCGTAGTGGGAAGAACACTGGATTGGAAGAAACTGTTCTTAGGCTTCCTTTTTGAAACTTTTGACTAGGAATGGTAGAACAAACTTCTTACATATTTTCTCATGGAGGTGATATTAGGATATGAATATAACGGACTTTGCAAAGAGAGTGTATACCTTTTATCCTTATTACAAATTGCCAGAATCTACTTTAGATCTCAAAGATTTCCTCATAAAACATTAAAAGAGACCATCTACCCTTAACTGTAAAGATGTACTCTCAATGAACTGCAAGACCTCTAAAACTATACAAAAATCATTTTATGTTTGCAGATAAGCATTTTCCTCTCCTTACCAAATCTGTGCTTAGGCTATTTTTATTTACATAATAAAAGTAATTGTGCAACTTTTCTACATGCAATTTTGCTCCTTTTTAAATTTTTCTCCCAGTACTAGGAATTGAACACAGGTCCTCATGCATGCTAGGCATGAACCACTGAACCACATCTCCAAACTCTTATATACATTTTTTAAGAAAAATATAATCTATGTACTTCAGTACAGAAAATTAACTTCTGAATACCACTGGTGTGGATTTGTACAGAAAACTAATGTTCTAAGTAAGCATTTCTTAAAACAGAAAACTAATGTTCTAAGTAAGCATTCTAAGTAAGCATTTGTACAGAAAACTAATGTTCTAAGTAAGCATCCACCAATAGGCTGGGATTCCACAGTGTTTTGCTTGCTGTTTTCAAACAACTTCTTTAAAAACCAGAGAGATAAACATGTAAGGCAAACTTACATAGAGAGTTGGCTTTAGTGTCTCATGCAGTCATAGTAATCCTGTTATAGTCTGTGATCCACAAATGCCCCAAGCAGACAGACAGGTGAGTCTTGAGAAAGAAAAAAGAAAGATTTATTATGGCTGAGCTACACTCTTTCCGAGAGGGTTCAAGTGTAACACCAAGCCTAAGCACTCTGGCTCTTTTTATGTTGATCATGTTGCTAGGCAAGCAAGCAGAATACAGAAGCCAGTCATTGAGCATTAAGCTCAAGCAAACATTATCAAGGAAATACAAAAGAAAATACAATTTTCCATCCAAACCTTCCACCTGTACAGAACTAGCTTCCTCCTCTTTCAAAAACTGACATTATCAATCTTACTGTTACTCTACATTGTCTTTACCAGTCACAAAGTTCCCTCTAGGGGGGGTTTGTTGTATAGAAATTGTATCTTTGAAACCTCTAAATACCATGGGATACTTTTTGTACAGAGAAACTATAAACAGGAGTGAAAAGTTTAGGTTCCCAAACATACAGGCAGAGAGTCCCCTAAACAATTTCTGTTCTATTAAGCAACAATTGGTATTTTGCAGAAGCAAGTCAAGCATAACCTACAGAAGCCATAAATCAGCAGTTAGCAGGAGCACTCTAGGACAATGACCTGTTCCCAAGACAACCAGGGTCCAGCTTGCATGTGTTCCCATACCCTGGGCCAACTACCTGATAATTTCAGAGACTAGAGTCAGCCTAAACTTTAACATGGCATAGCTATGGTCTAGAAGATGCCCTATTACGATCCCAATGTCCACAATAAATGTCACATCTACCCATTGCTTTGTCTTGAAGAATTTCATTTTCTTCAAGTTTTTCAGCTGGAGAAAGTAGTTTGAGAATCAGTTGGAGTACAGTAAACTAAGTTCTATCTGAAACAGAAATTTATGAGCATTTCTTTGACATCATCATAAAGTCAAAGTGTGCACATAGTTGTTACAGACTGCTTCAATCTTTCTAAAGTTAAGCTTTTGATAAGAGTCTAAGGGCTGGCATCAGGTGTGTAGTCAAGTTACAGGAAAGAGCTAATAGAAGAAACTAAATCCCTCACTTGAGCAAAGTTGAAGAGCAGTTAGCAAGATGTTTGTATGCCTTTCTCCCTTTGAAGTAACTCAGTATCAGTGAAATTCAGTCTAGCTAAAAAGGAAAAACTACATTTGGTGCCAGCAGTTGTACCAGTTTGCAAGTTCTTACGTAGTACACGTCTACTCTAAAATGTAAGCACCTTTATGATCAGTTTTTATATCTAATTTTCTACAAATAGTCTCAGGAAATTCTACCCTTCCTGAATTACATTTCCATGCCCCACAGTGCTCACACACTGGGGAGGTTGTACTGGCCTCTTTCATAGTCATTTTATGATTACAGCATTATAGAAGTAGAAACTTTTACCTTGGAGCTTCATCCTTATAGCTCTGTGGTTTTCAGTATAGTAGAGAAAGGTTTGTTCCACTGGGGTATTTGATGGAGTTGGTGGGTGGGTAGGTAGGTTGGTTGGTGGGTTGGTTGGCTGACTGGTTGGTTGGTTTACATAAGCAATTCACAGACATATATGAAAAGAAATATCCTTTTTTTAAGTTTTAAGTATGATACACAGGAAATTTAAAAGTCAAAACTTGGATTTAAATAAAAATACAAGCTCTCATCTCTCTTTTTTTGTCTGTCTTTATCAGAATGACATCAGTGCTACAGTGTTAGAAGGCCAAAATTAGGTTTGATATTTACTGTTTTTAATAGTTAAATGAATTCAAGGCAATAACCTCACTTGAGTACTGCAGACTCAGTGCTTCATAAACTCTGTGACTAATTGGTTTTGTCCCTAGGGTAAGGCATCCTTTATCACAGAATGTGTTTGTAGATGTTTGATAAGGTGGAAAGAAAAGGTTAGATGGACTGAATATGTTTCAGTCTTAACAGATTATGGCATGAGTTAAAGGAGCATCTGTTTATCTGAGAGCAAGGTATCAGCTACCTATTTATAAAAATATAGGCAATCAGTATTTATTTCATATATTAAGATTTGCAAAGTCAGCTTCCCCTGGAGGCAATAAAGCTGTAAGCTGGGTTGGAAAAGTTGTGTGTGTTGCCAGTGAGTTGACCTTTAATGTGACTCAATTGTTTTGAGGGTTAATGAGATAACAAATATAAAGGCACCAAGAAACAAGCCTGACACTAGAGCGCTTCATGAACACTTCTTCCCTTTATTCTTTATGCTTCTTATCAGTTTGCTATTTATATTGTTGGCTACAATGTCAAATGAGGCTGATACTAAATGGTAATATGTTTTGTCTTAATAGACAGATAAATTTATCTAAAAACTGATTATTTGCCTCATTAATATTGGTTTTGAAAAGCTTTATTGCTTTTAATAGTTTAGGCTGTTTATCCCTATTTCGGTATTTAAAATTATCTGTCTTGCCTTAATTTTTTTTTTTTTATAGTTCATGCCCTTTAAGGTCTAATAATAGCTCATGTCTGCTTGATGTGAGAAAAAAAAGTGCCTTCTGGTGGGCTTCATTAATTTAAGAAGGTTCTGCTTGCCATGCTTGACCTGTTACAGCTAATAAAAGAGCTTAAATTACTTTTCTATCTTGCTGATATCCTTTTGCCATCTTCTTTGCTCCCATACAGTAGAAACAGGAGCAATTATACCCGCTCAGAATGTCTATACTTCCCCACATGAAGTCTTCTGTAGCACTGTTTACCACATAATGCATGCATGGGAATGTGGTATAAATTTATTGTTTATCTGATCAGTCTGCCTAACATCACATCTGAATGGGGACAGAAATTGGGGAACAGGACAGCATAGTCTTTGGGTATCTCAAGCGCTCCACTTGTGTTGGTAGAAAACAACCAAAAACATGGAAAACATGCCTATGAAAACACAGTACCATAACTAACTGGTCTGCTCACACTCAAGACCTTCTTCAATACTTCTATTTTCTTGAGTGTTTATCCTAAATTCAGCATCTCACCCAGAGGTTCAGAATGCTCTTTTTTTTTACCAAAATCACTAGTGTGCCATCACAGCATGATCACCCTACCCCCGAGTGGCCTTGCCTTCTAAACTCTTGTACTTTTATGGTCTAGTTTGTTTCTCTACTTGGCTTACATCCCCCAGGTCACAGTTCATCACTGAGGTAGCCCAAGGTAGGAACTCAGGGCAGGAACCTGGAGGCAGGAGCCCAGACCATGAAGTTAGGCAGCTTACTGGCTTGCTTCCCTGACTTATGCTCAGCCTGCTTTCTTATAATACAGAACAACCTGCCCAAGGGTGGCACCACCCACAATAGGCTGGACCTCCCACATCACTTAAAAATCAAGGAAGTACCTCACAGACATGGCCACAGGCCAGTCCAATGGAGGCAATTCCCCAAATGAGGCTCCCTCTGCCCCGGTGTGTCTAGTTGACAACTAAAGCTATCCAGCACATCATGTTTCTGTTTTACTTACTTAGCTCTTAGCCCATCTTCTGTCTTAATATGAACCACTGCCTTGTCTTCCCAAGGACTCTGTTAAGGCAGAGTGTAAGTCTTACACCTACCCCTTGGAGTCCCCAAAGCAACTGTATCTGACATTCAGCATTCATGAGTAACATTTGATCTGCTGATTCTACTTCACTCAACCAAAAAACATTGGCTTCACTTATTTAAATGGACTTTGTAGTTTTGTCTTTTCTCATACATTTTTTTGAGTGCCCTAACTATGCAAACAGTAGACTGTCTAAAGAACTGGAGCTAAGCAAAAGCAACTGACTTATCTGAGGTCCTAACAAATAACAAACTCAGCATCAGAAACTAGATCTTGCCTTCCTTCTAGAAGGCTCTTAATACCCTCTCCATTCCTCTCCATCAACGGGATAAAGAA